CGCAGAGTGGCTGGGCCCGTGAGCCATGGCCGCTGAGCCTGCGCGTCTGGAGCCTGTGCTCCGCAACGGGAGAGGCCACAACAGTGAGAAGCCAGCGTACCGCAAAAAAACAAAACAAAACAGAACAAAAAACAAAAAAAAACTAAAGTTATGACTGCCACTCCCCACCTACAATAAAGTCCCTCCTTCCCCTCCTTGGTACCACTTTCTCCCAGTCTGGGTTCAGATTCTGGGTTGATGACCCTCTCTGCGTCTCAATTTTCTCTTCAGGAAAATGGGGATAAGAATATCCAGTTCCTAAAGTTGTTGTAAAACTTAAATAACTTGCTATACGTAAGGATCTTGGCACAGTTCCTGCTTACAATAAGCACATTTGTAAATTTGAACTATTATTCCTCATTCACTATCGCCAATTCCACACTTCAACCCAACTTAACGTACTTCTCTTCCTTTGGAATACTCTGCCAACTGGCTACCTAAATCCAACCTTTAAGTCTTGTTTTAGACAGTATTACCTCTGGGAACCTCTCCCGACCCTCTCTATATGGCTTAAGAGCACAGACTTGGGAGACAGACGGCCTGGGTTGAGTCAACACTCAGTCACTTACAATATCCATAACTTTGGACGGGTTACTTAATCTCTACCACTCAGTTTCCTTCTCTGCAAAATGGGGAAGATAACTGGGAATTCCCTGGCAGTCCAGTGGTGAGGACTCGGTGCTGAATGGGGAACTGAGATCCCGCAAGCCCTGTGGCACAGCCAAAAAAAGAAAAAAATGGGGAAGATAAGAGCACCTTCCTCATAGTGTCACTGTGAGAATGAAGTGGGTTCAGTCTCCTGAAACTCCAGGAACAAGATCTTAGAATAGTACGAGGCCATAACGAGCACTAAATAAATGTTAGCTATTATTATTGTTCTTGTTGTTGCTAAGCTGGCCGACGTGAAGACTCTAGTTGCCTTAGGCTCTCTAATCCAGCACTGAATGAATGCTGTTCTGTGGAACTCAACTGTCTCCAGTCTTGAGCTGAACAGCCTTCCTGCTCCAATCCTAAACTCCACTTCGGAGGAAATACGCTCTGAAACACAAAGCATATCCTCCCAGTCTTGCTCACCAGCACCCCAAACACACACGAACATAATGGAACATCACCAGGTGACCCCCCCCAACTCCATCATACGCCTGGGTCCTGCCAGGCCTGAGGGACCCCAAATCAGCCTTTCTCTGCGCCTCCATCAGACTCCGGGTCTTTCTTCCGCTCCACTCCTTTTTCTCCCTTCCCGTAAGAACCTGGCCCTCTCGCAGCTCCATCAGACCCGGGTCTCTGCCCCCGCCCGCCCGCAGAGCCAGGCCGCTGACCGGTCTTGGAGCTGGAGATCTGGTCTCTCCCGAGGCTCCTCGTAGAAGCTGATGCCCGGGTGCGTGGCAAGGGCCCGCCACAGAAACTCCTGCGTGTAGGGCTCCAGAGGCAGCGGGAAGGGCGGCACTCGCGTCTCCAGACGGCTCCAAAGCGCGGGAAGACACAAGCCATCAAGCCCCTCCAGGGCCACCTCGTCCAACAACGACTCCAGTGCGTCCATTGCTACTTCAGTTGGCAGCAACCGGGGCGCCTGCGCACCACGCCGCCAAAGGCCCTCGTTCAGAGCGCCTGCGCACAACGACTGGCAGCCAGGGAGGCGGGGCGGATCCGGGGACCGGAGGAGGAGTTCCAGAGCATGGTCGTGCTGTCACTCCCTTTGGGGGAGGGTTCATTCCGTAAAACTCCATTGCCATTGGTCCGGAACCCCGCAGTAACCAGGGGAACTGCAAACAGTGTAGAGGCCGCTTCCGGTTCGAGGACCCGGAACCGCCGCCTCTAGGGATGGACGGTGAGTGTCCGTGGGCCCCCCCGCGAGGTCGGGCAGTTACTCTCCCACCCCTCCTGAGGGCCCCCCGACCCGGGCAGAGCCCTAGGCCACAGACCCCTGGACCACCACTGCCTGACCCAAGGTGGTCTCCGTCTGAGGGAAAGGGAGCCTTAGTGGTCCGGGATGGGAAGAGGAGGCTGGGGGGAGTGGTCAGTGATTTGGTCACTATGCTGCTTGTGGTTGTGTTGGAACCCCGTAGTGGCCAGGGCATCAGAGTAAAGGTTGTCGACTGAAAAATTATTCACAACCTAAAAGTTGAGAGTTATGTTTCATTTGGTGGGAGTTTTTATAACTTCAACCCCGCTAGGCAGCATCTCAAGTAATCCTGAGAGAACTGCTCAGAGGAGGCAAGTTGGGGGAGGCCGGATATATAGGAGTTTTGCAACAAAGGGCAGGTAGTGTGAACGTCAAAAGATTATTGTTAATTAAAGAAAACCAGATATCCCAAGTTAAGGAATTTAGCGCTTTTCTGTGTATGGGAAGATGCAAGAGTCTGAACGTCGAAAGATTATTGTTAATTAAAGAAAACCAGATATCCCAAGTTAAGGCATTTAGCGCTTTTCTATGTATGGGAAGATGCAAGAGGCTGGGCTCTCTGAAATCATTCCTTTGATATGCACCTCAGCTATTTGGGTTCAGTATGTAGGGAGTGGCCGCAGTCTGATGGGTGCTAGATGGCAGGTATTCTTTCCTTCCTGAGTTCCCTCAGGGCTCACGGGCTCCGGTTCGAGGGCTGCAATTGCTGAGGACTGTGACATCCTTTGTTTACTGACGTGGCAGGAAATATTCCGTTTGTCAGGGTTTAGGGTGGGAAAGACATAGAGGTGGGGGGTGGGGTTCTTGTGTGTCCTGGGGCGTGGAACTGTGGAATACGGGAGTTGGTATGGAAGTAAGCATCATCATGGGGAATGCAGTCTTCAGCTACTGGGAGATGGGACTTGGTAAGGGGGATGCGGGAGAGACTCTCTTTCTGTGCTTTGATGTTGATACTGTTCGGTGCCCGGAACTCTAAATGTTGTCAAGCAGCTCGATAAACTTCATAACAGTCTTTTGAGGTCAGTGTTATCCCATTTTACAAATGAGGACACTGAGGCTCAGAGAAGTGAAGTATCTTTTGCCCCAAATCAAAGTCATCAAGTGGCAGAGTGAGTAAGGAACCCGGACATTGTCTCTGGAGCTGAATTACGGAGTTTGAGATTTGGAAGGGATTTTAGAAGCCCTTCATTCCAGAAGGTGCAAATGCAGTCATTTGCAGGGGCAGGTCTGGTGGGCTGGATTGGGCTGTGATTAAAAGTCAATTTCTTTTCTGATTAAAAGTCAATTTCTTTTCTGAAAGGGAAGCTTCTCACTCAGCTCCAACCAGTTCGTTTCCTGGGGTGCTTCTCAAAATGCCACAATGGCCAATCAGTCTGAAGGCCAGAAGCAGCCTGTGAGCCATCATTTAGGGATCCCCATAAAAATCAGAGAATTCTATGATTCTAAAAATAGGCTACCCTGATATCTCATTTTATAAATGGGAAGAGTCGGCCAGAATCCACATAATTTTTCTCATTATACCACTGTCCCTAACTTCTGGGAAATGTTGTTCCTTTGTGATATCTGCTTAACGCTGTGGAAAAAAAATTTTAATTGAACAATCTGTTATGTGCTTAAAAGACATCTTTGCCCTTTGTACTTCAGAGGTAGTGTAAAATGGCATTCACCAGTTTGCCCAGTGGAAAGGTCAATGTAATGTTGCTGTAGAACAGCAGTACTCAGATCTTTCTGGTCTCAGGATGCCTTTATGCTCTTAGCTCAAGAGAGCTTTGTGTGTATTATACCTATGATATTTACCATATCAGAAATTAAAGCCAAGAAAATCTTAAGACATTTATCAACTCATTTAAAACCAATAATATATGCATTACTTCTGAACATAAATAATACTTTTTATTGAAAAGTGGCTATATTTCCCACCAGAAAGGTTAGTAGGAAGCATGATATTGTTTTAGAGTTTCTTAAATCTCTTTAATATCTGGTTTAATAGGAAATAGCTAGACTCGTTTCTGCTCCAGCAACCAAACTGTTGTGTTGTTATTTTGGCTGATATATTTGAAGAAAATAGGGCCTCACACAGACATTTTTTTTTGGAACAGGGAGTATTTTAATTGTCTTTTCAGATAGCTGTAAACATTCTTCTTTGACAGTATTCTGAAACTTAGCAAGTGGTAATTTCTCAAAGGTTAGTCACAATGTGGCATCTGAAACCATATTGGTGAACTTTTGTTTGTACTCTGTTACATTAAAGCCCATTGGTCTATCTCACCCTTTGATTGCATAGTTTACCCATGTATGATTCCGTAACATTAGGCATTGGTCATTTGGAAAGTTCACTGAGTTATGCAGATCTTCTAAATGTTGACATTGGAAATACAACATTAAATGGCATGTCATTACACAATATCAAAAAATCACATTCCTTAGTATCCCTTTTTAAAAAAAAAAAGAGTTTAAGTACTGGGAGCTATTAAACTCAAAGTACTGGAAACAAGTTTCCTACTTGTTTTCACTTGAAAGCTTGAATTTTATCATTGGCAACAAATACCATCAGTTGTTTCCTTGAAGTGACATGCTCACTTTTGTATTTAAGAAAATGTCTGCCAGATACTCAAGTCTGAATAACTATAGTTTGTCTACTAGTTGTTCGTTCAAGTAAACATGACATTTGATACAATATGTGGCTACTTCAGCTGGCAACTTAAACACACAAGTGTTTTGTAGGATCAACTGTTGTACTTTGGCTTGTAGCAGAAGTGCTTTATGTGTACTTTGCATTTTTTCACACAGAATATTTAAAAGATGTGTTCTCATGGGTTCAGGTTTAATAAAATTAATTTTTATTTAATTTTCATCAGGACATTCTTAAGTGAAAATGTTTTTTTGTTTGTTTTATCGTCAGCACATGGCACTAAAGAGTATAATGACTACTGATACAGTTTGGTGCCGCTGCCTTGTAGCCACTCAAGCTATCAGCAGTTTTACCTACTGTTGCTTTTGCATCATCAGTGCAAATACCAACACAATGAAACAGTCTTCGAATTATGATGAAGATAATACTTGTCCTTGGGAACCCCTCTTCCTCCCAGGATCTGTGGAACACACTTTGAGAAACATTGCTGTAGACCATTTTCAAGAAGTCTGTTCAGTCAGTTCTGTTATCATCTCAGTGGTCCTGAGCATTATGGCCCAGTGGAGGAATTTGTCCATTTTCAGATTGGTTACAAAAAGGAAAAATTTGTTCTAAGAAAGTGTTTGCCCTAAGATTAGATTTAGCATTCAAAGGATCCCTTTTTCCTTTGCAATTTTTTTTCCTTTGCAATTTTTAAAACTTTGATCTCTGCACAATTTTCCAGGCATATATCTATTGGGTAAAGTGAGGCATACCGTGATGAATTTTGATTCTAGCCAACTAGATAGATAAGCCAAGTCCAGCCTTGTTAGAAAGATGTTTACTTCCTAAACCCACAAAAGCTTAAATGTCTGCTAAGTATCCCCAAACTGGATTGTAGTTTGGTTTATTCCTCCTGCCCTAGTCAGCACAGCTTTTCACAACATTTTTTCTGGCCCGTTGGGTTTGACTTGGCAGGTTCTATCTGGCTCTGCGATGCAGCGTGGTGTAATATTCATAGGTTTTGCAGACCAAATAGCCCTGGATTTGAATCCCAGGGGTGTACTCTGACCTCTTTGAGACTCAGTTTTCCTGTCAATAAAGTGGACATGATGAAGCTTACCTTGTTTTGTGTGCCCATCCGTTGGTGAATCTATTATTGTGAATTCAATGAGACTATGCATGAATGCACTTAACACCAAGTCTGGCGTATAAAAAGCACACGTATGTGGTAGCTGATGCTGTCATTACCTGCCAATGTGCAGACTTCTTCCGCATTCCTGACAGAAGAGGAAGGAGGGGATATGGTGAAGCTCTCTAACAAATCATAATCTTTGCAATTAGCTCACTCTTTGTTTAAAAGAAAACCCAGTGTTTGACATGGTTTATTTACATGAAAGTAAATTGGCAATGTGTGAGTCTCCTGCCTATGTTTATTTACATGAAAGTAAATTGGCAATGTGTGAGTCTCCTGCCTACGTAAATGTTCACCTTTATGTCAAAGTCGAATTTCCCCCATTGCTTTTAAAATATGAGATGGCCGAGAAAAAAAAAATTCTACTCAGCTTTCCAGGAACATAATAATTAGACAAAAGTTCAGCACATGGAGATAATTAGAAAGGATTTTAAAGCTAGGCATTTGCTTTGGTTCCCCCCAGAGCAAGTATTCAATGTCTCCCCTGTTTATACTGTTCATTTGCCTAGCAGACTTTCTCAAAGAATTAATAATGCCAAGATGAAATTTAGCCTAGCTTGTCTAAATAATCCCAAACTGCAAAATGGGTGACGGTTGAATTAGTTAGGTTTTGCTGAAAGTCCAGTCACCGTGTCTGATCATTTCTGTTCTTGTGTTGTGTTTACCTGGGCTCCTGGTGATTTGTCTGTTTCTCTTCCTACTCAAAATAAACCAAGCAAAAAAAATAACAAAATAAAACATAGAAAGCATTCAGCAGGCAAAATAAACATGTGGTCCATGTAGTCTTTGTGTCGGTTCTTCCTCTGCTTCCATCCTTTTATCTGATTGATTTCTTTTCCCTTGCCGTTCCTCAGCATTCATTCCATCCTGTCGTTT